GGGAAGCTGCTCAGTTCTGCAGCCAAGTATTTCCCCTTACTAAAGGGCATCTTAAAATACGACAGCTTGGGTACTCTCAAGCTGAAAAGCAGTACTTGGCATTGTTCTCTCAAGTACTTAGCTGAAGTCTGGAAATTCTCCAGGGCCTCTCTTCACACGTATGAAGAAAACTGAGCGCTCATAAGTATTTTAACCTGCTTCGTATCCCCCATTTGTTTAGACATCTTGATATTTGGCTATAAATACTTCACAGATTTAAGGAAGTAAAAATATAAATTATCTATCATTAAGTTATATATTCAGTTTAAGGACAAAGAGCAATAACTGATTATTCGAGACAGCCTTATGACAAAGAAGTAATTAAACAAGCTTTACCACTCTTCCTACTTTAAGATCGTGTCCCCTTAGGTGAAAAACAACTGAATGTTTATGTTACGTTACTCATCTAAATAACATTGACATGAGGCAAGATTTATATAAATAGCTACCTGAAGAAAATCATATTTGGATTTAGAACTTATTCTCTAACTGACCAGTGGCCCAGCACTTCCTTGAATGGCCCAGCTTTCTTGAAGCAGGCACAATGACAATATTAGGGATACAGACTGCAGTAATGAGTTGTCATGCCATATAAACTGCATTCAAAACAAAGTAGAATAAACAACTACCACCCACCGGTTACTAGTCTGGCTGGCTTCTACTTGGCCTTTCTTGGACACGCAAACTGCTGAACAGACATTTCCTTGATGTACGCAATCTGTATAGATAGGCCTGTAAAGCTAGTCTGACCAGAAGAGATTAATAGCTTTAGCCAAATAATGTGGTAACCATGTGAACGATGAGCTGTTCTAGCATGTTTGTGAGTCTCTCAGCAAGGTTCAACATGCTGCTATCTGCATCTTGTTGCCAGGAGACACAACATCGCCTTGGAATATAAGGAAAGCCAGGTTGCAGTGACCACAAGTAAACTCCATGAAGGTTCGTAAAGAGTCCAAGTAGTCCACATCTGAAGGTTTAGAAGGTTCCTCCGATGTAAGATATTGTGTAAAAGAAAACTCGCTATGACACACAGTAAAACAGCTCCTCCATTTCAAAGCCTTATTTGAAACCATGTTAAGTCTAAGTTTTAAGGAACATCAGATTCACTGTTTGAAATTAGAAGCTTTAGCCTTAACAAAAAGTTTCATTTCCAGGTTCTTACTGATACTTATCTAGAAACCTAAAGGTCTTTCAAGGGAAGAAATACAGGAGTTACAGAATTTGCCGATTTTTAATTCCATGGTAAATTTTTCATATAACCACAGGAAGGGTAGAGGATACTGTAAACTTGTAGCAAACATCCAACCTGGTATTCAGGCATGACTGATTGAAGCAAAAGATCTCCACAATATCATGTGAGAGAAGGAAAAGAACACAGGCTGCAGAATCAGCAGCTCGATACAGAAATTTAGTTAGAAAATATTGATGTTTAAAATAATTTTTAGTCTCAAGAAAATACTTTTGCCTGAAAAAAAAAAAAAAAAGAGTCAGGCAAACATTCACTGGGTAGCTAGTTCAGCTAAACCAGATGAATGCTAGTTTGCATTCAAAGAATCTGTCTCTACTTCAAAAGCACAGTTTCAAACTGACTACTGAACAAGCAGCAGAGCTCCGACCCAGCACTCCTGGATTTTCTGGGATCATACTGCCTCTCTGACTTTATTCATGGTAACAGAACGTAACGTGTCTGACAATAATCCTGATAAGTTCCTTCCCAACCAGTTTGGACAGACAGAAACTCACTGTACCAAGATGCCAAAATACTCACCAGACTGGAAATCTGCAAAATAAGTGTAAAGGCAGATAGCACTATTCAGCCAGTTTTACAATATGGAGATAGGATGATTAAGTAGTTATGAAGCATTGTTTCTTTTTAATCACTCTAGACTCCATAATTTAGAACAGACAAATCACGTGTGTAGCAACGGATTTTGTGATATATGCTTGAAAAAATAAAAATAACTTTCTGCTCATTGGCACAGAGCTCAAGTTTTAATTACTTGCCTGGGCTTGCCTTACTCCTTTGAACATTTATTATTTCAGTTTTCAGAAATCTTTTAAAATACCTGGAAAAAATGGAAGTCTCTCTGCTGTAAAATATGGTGGATTTACTCTGCTGTGCAGTTGAGAGAGAGAGAAAGAGAAGAGAAAATATGATTGCTCCCTATATTGCATAACTTATTTTATTATTTCCTACTTCAGTTTCAGTGTGGAGTATCTATATGTTGGTATTACCTTCAGCAAAGAGGATGAAATGGGAATCTGTAGGTTGATAAAGCTTGAGTTTTAGGGCCTAATCCAACATCCAGACAGGTCAATGTAAAGACTCACACTGACTGGCTATTAGATTGGGTATCTGATGCCTAATAGGAAATCTCAGCATAGTAAATGAAAATAAAATAATTCTGCCCTAAAACATTAAGGAAGAAGGGACATATTTCTTCGGAAAGTGGAAGGAAGGAAGGGCAATGAAAAACCCAAAGAGACTCAGATGCCAAAGAAAAATTTGAAGTTTTTCCTACACAACTATGAAATTGTCGTTTTGAACTTGACTACTACCAGAATTAGTTGCACCAGAGGCTTAAAGAATATGACAGGGCAGAAAAGATGTGAGAAATATTTCCTCCAGAAAAAAAGTATTCAGTAGTCAGAAAACTGAGAATCTACACCCTGCACTCACAAGAACATGGACCACATAGGTCTCATGATCTTGTAAACGCTGTCACTCTGCATTACTATTCAAAATGGAACCTAAACTACAAAAGTTGAAAGGAGTTTTGTTCTACACCTCAGTGCGCAGGATCTAGTCCAAGTTGAGAACATAATCAGGGAAACTTAAAAGCTGCTTGTCATTTTCTGAAATTAGAAAAACACTACTACACAGAGCAAACAATGACTTCTAATGTACAGTTAAACATTTTTAGGTGAAACTACTTAAATGGTAGATCAACATTTTTGAAGGTGTTACTCAGGTTGCTCATAGTCAATCAGCTGAAACATCACCATAAATTATCAACTATTTGAAAGTGAACACAGCACCTATCTAATTTCAGTTGCTTAGAATATAATTATGAAAACTGTGCTTGCAACGCATACAGTCAATCCGGATTCACAATGGCAAAAAGCACTGCTGTACCATTCCCATTTCTATCACTGCAAAGGTTCATTCATCCTGCCACTTTTCAAATAGAGAGACAAGACTAATTAGGAATGTCAAGAACAAGTACAGTGTTGCACAACAGTCTCTGATGACTCTCTCAGTTTTACAGAACTGAAGTTTTCCCCTTTCACATGCTTCAAGTCCTTTTGCTAAAGATAATGTTTTCCAGGTACGTAGCAGTAGTTTTAATAGGCGTGGAAGAATTTTCTGTCTGTGGCAAATTTGTTATATATGATTCAGATAACATCACCATAAGGCTTGGAAAATACTTGTATATAAAATATCAGAAAAAGAATATTTCTTAACTGCTTCTTGGCTAAGCACTCTTGGCTTTGCTAGTAAGGGAGTAAAATTCAGTTACCTACCGATATTTCACTTTGATCCTGTCGTTGTCAGGGTTGCAGTAGAGTCTTTCCAGATGTTCCTGGGAATCATTGGTCACGCTTTGCCAACTCTGAGTTGTTGTCCTTCTCACTTGCCAGTGATACGGCAACACTGTATGATGTTTGGGACAATCACTGCCATAAACACAAGTCCCCTGCAGAAAATCCACACAGATTTCTACTCCGTCCTCCTGATGAGTGTGATATTGCAGTTGGTTCAAGAGTTCAAATACCAGATCAAGAGAGGCTTCTTCACTTTTATCCTGGAATATCCCAGCACTGGATTTATCACTTGTGTTCAAATTGTATTGCATTGGACAGCTGTTCTCTTGGAATAAGCCAGATGCGTAGCTTTCTAGAATCTTGTCTGGGAACAACGGACAAGCTGCAGCATCACTAGAAGGTGCATGCAAAGGATGATCCTGGAATGATTCATTACTAGTATCAGCAGCAGTTCCAGGAGAAGTTTCTGATGAGAAGCCTTGCTCTCCTGACTGGACCTCCTGCTCAGGATGCCCAGAAGACGGATGAGGTACTGGCAGTTGACTTTGTACATCTGGAGCTGTTGGCATCAACACAGTCACATTACCTTCTGGTTGGGAGCAAGAAGAACTGAGTTCCAGAGCCTTTTTCACAGCAGGTTCACACAAATCACTGTCACTACCACCTTGGCCTCGGGGCACAAAGACCCTATCCAGGGTTCCAGCTCCCAGCAAACTGGTAAAGATTGGCCGCAAAGCCCGGAGAGTTTCCGTGTCCAGTCTCTTCTGCACTTGCTGCTTCTTCTTGAAGCAAGGCTTCACTGGGGGGATTTTTTCAGACAATCTTATCTGAGGAGGAAAGTCCTCTGGAGGAGGGCACTTCATTCCTGGGCAGTGAGCCTGCGGCATGACACACGCTGGCTTTGGTTCGGTGTCCATCAGACACAGACTTTGCTCTCTCCAAATCACTTTCAAACGTCCCAGAGCCTCACAAGAATCAATCTAGGGCAGAAAGGAAAACAAGACAGTTAATCTCTTTAATTGCTCATGGTTGACATGAACAAGATCACCCCTGGAGAGGATTTCAAGCCAGCAACAGCAAACTCCTCCCCTCTCTGTGACTGTGGGTAGCCCCTAGGCACGTAAAGCATGAAACCAGCTAAACTCAAGCTAATTAATCCCAAACACAGTCGTCTTCTCACATATGAGGTCTCACAGACACTCAGGCACGCACAAACAGTCCCTGGAGGGAGCAGAAGGGGCAGGGAGGATGGAACAGATGCCCTTCTCCCTGTGATGATGTTTAATAATAAACGCCACTTTGGTTCCTTATATTCCACAAAAGCAAGCACTGCATTGTTCGTTTTTGTCGAGAACGGAAGCATTAGCAGACATCCAGCCCTGAAAGCTCCCACCAAGCTCCAAAACACTGGTGCACCCTTTCTTCCTCCCACCAGATAAATGGATAGACCTACATATTCCTATTTGATTTATATATCTGTTCTCTTATGTAACCTCACACATCCCCCCAGTAGCATTATTAGAGAACTGCTAGTTTCACATAAGTGAACGGCAGACTTCATAACTGACTTCAATGGGGGTAAGGATTTAATCCTTGGTTTTACAAACCCACTAGTTCAAGTACTTAACAGTACTTCCTCCTACTACTCATTTGACACTTGCAGTCTCATACGTGTCCAGACACTCCCACTTCACACACAGACGTTCTCACATACCCACACACTCTCTCATAGTCTGACTCATACGCATATACTGCACTCAGTCACCCTTCTGTGACACACCGAGCTCATTCGCCTCCCGTAAGGCTAGTCCACGAGAATTAAACTGAGCAGCGAAGAACATAAAGTGGTTTAGGAATACAGAAAAGGCAATCACTAATATGGTGAAAAATTAATTATTCATGACATTAAAATACCTATGTCTACCAGGTCACCAGAAAGCAAGATGTATACCTGTTAATCAAGAATCTTGTAATATTTGATTACATTTAATTAAACACTCTTCAGACTCAAAGCTTAGATTGGAACACATTAAGGATTACTTCCTGAAAATATGCATTCCAAGAAAGGAACTTCTCATTTTGAAAAAAATTCTCAGGAAACCGAGATAAAAATTTAGCAGTAATTTAATGCTTAAAAATTTGTCCTTCAAAATTCCTCTTTTTTATTTTGGAACATTCATTTATAGAGTTTTTGCATTACCCTGCGAGAGAACATTATCAGGACCAGCAGAAAAAGAAAATAAGTTGTACCTCTGTGTTTTTCTATTTTTAGATTAAAACAACCAAAATATTTTTGGCCACCTAAAACAAATTCCAAAATTACTGAAATCTCTATTATTCTTCCACAGGCATATCAAGCAGTTCTCTAAGCACTCTACAGTACCTTAAAGGTTCAAGTAATTTCAAAGGTCTTAAAAACTGCAAAAGGAAGCAGATTCTGCACTTCATTGTGCCTAGGTCTAACAGCAGCTATGGTACATAAGAGGATCACCCCCGGTTCAAGGAGTCCTACTGTGCCTAGGGGCCAAGTAAGTGACTTATGGACATTTTCAGCTATATCTTTAATGCTATTTCAATGCTGTTCTTGCTCGTTTCTATACTCTATTGTTCAAATTTTGCTGTTATTTTTAAAAGAATTGCTATATCATATGGAGTTAGTCTTCCAATATCTTTAAAAAGTAGAAACCAGCGGAAAGAAACATCGGAATTTGTTGACACTTCTATTTAAGCATTTTAACACCCCCAAACAGTCAATATTATTTAGAAACAACACTAACAACCACATAGAACAATACCACACTTGCACGTTCTGCTTCATCAGAAAAAGATCTGTTGGTTTGCTAGTTCAGTCCCTAAGTACTAGCTATCTCACATGAACCACACCTCCTTCTGCTTTGCTGAAGGAAGGAAGTCTACTGGACCTAGAACTTAGAAAACAAACATCCCAAAACCCCCCAAAACTCCAAACTCAACAACAACAAAATAACCCCCCAAAAAAACAAACAACAAAGCCTAACGGACTAATCACCTCGCAACTTTACGTATCCTTCAAAAAACGTGCAAGCAGGCAGGTAGCCCTCCTGCCTCCCCGGTGCCTCACAGGCACGGCAAACACCGCAATCGGCAACGCAAACAGTACCGCTCCCCTACAAAGCTTTGCTCTGTAACCCAAACCGTTCTTGCCACCCTCCCCCCCGACACAACGAAACCACCCAGCTGTTATTCACTTAGAGCGAGATTTTTGCATTTTGACTCAATTTAGCAAACCTTCAAAACAACATTAACATTCTGCGGGGG